CCACATGCACGCTGCTGTGTAGAACTGCTGTGGATTAAATATATATATAAATGTAATAGATTCAAAATTACAGAGATTTGTGATCCTTGTTTTCTGTACAATTTTTGTTTGAGTTCATGAAATCCACATCAGTAAAGCATTATTTTGGGCTTTTTCCTGGCGCATGGAAATAGCTTTGTTTTAGAGAACTAAATGATGAGCTCTTATTTTTCTCTTGGAACCCTATCCATATATAGCAGTCCTTCCTAAATACGCTATTAGTAGTACAGCTTGCGTGACAGCATCAGATTTCCTAGGATGATCTTTCCTCATTGATGGAAAATGTTAGAACCCTGGAAATAATTTTTACTATCGGGGAGAGTGTACCATAGGACATGTACTGGAATACTGTAAGGGTTTTGTAAGTATAAATGTCAGGCTGTGTAGCATGCACCCGGGGTTGTGGAATAGAAGCCAGCGTTGCCTCACATAGCTTGGCTATGCAGACCAGCTCTGCATCCATGTTACCTGCAGGCAGCTTTGTGCCTGCCAGGGACACTCGGAGAGCCAACCTGTGACCATGGTTCAGACTGTATAGTAAGTGACTCTAGGTTCCTTCTTTCTTTTCATCTTTCTTCCTTTCCTTCCTCTCTCCCATCCTTTCTTCTGCCAAGCCTGTCTCTGCAGAAAATAGCAGTCTTAGCAACCCTGTCTTTGACATTTCTAAAAATGATACAAATATGGTGATGCTAAAAATGTTAACTGCCATAATAAAATGGTGAAGGTTTTTAAAAAATGAGGAATTCGCTTTTTACTCTTTTATAAACATAGTGTTGGATTGCACTTTCAGATACGGTTCTATCCTTTGGGTAAAACCATTTGTAGATTTTAGGATGCATGTTCTTTACTTTCCATATTATATTATATATTGATCTCCTTTGGATTCTAAACTGATTTTTAAAGAAATACTGTACTACATGTATTTTCACTTTGTTTTTCTCTATTCTCGGATTTATTTAAAAATGGCTTTATTTTTAAATTCAGATCTTTTATTCCAATATACATTATGTCCAAACTTAATTTTGAGCCCAGGATTTGGTGGAGAAGTTTCAATAAAAATGGAATTAGTGACCAGTTTTATATTTGCCCCCCCCCCGCTTTTCCTTTCTTTCGTCCTCCCTCCCTTTCTCCACCTCCCTCTCTCCCTCCCTCCCACCTTTCTTTCCTGCCTCCCTCTCTCCCTCCTCTCCTTCCCTCCTTTCTTTTGTCAGTGTCGAGATGTGAGAACCAGAGAAGTTGGAATCCAAGAAATTCACCACAAAGTACGGCCATACCAGGTTAGTGTCTTCATTTTTTAGAGAGATTAGGTCCTGTTCATCAGTGTTTGTCAAGCCTGAGTTTACATCTACTTACCAATAGGACCAAATCCTAGAAGTTAATGAGTAAACCAAGAGCAAAGAGTAACTGAGAGGTAAGATAGCAAGCCAGGAAAGCCAAATATGAGGGTGGCTCAACTAAGAGTCAGGTTAGGAAAACCAAGTTTGAACTTCATTCTAGATCAGTACCGTCCAGTGAACTTCTGCTGTGTTGGCAGTGTTCTGTAATCTGTGCTGTGGAGTGTTATATCAGCCACCAGTCACGTGCGACATTTAAGCACTTGAAAGGTAGCTAGTGCAAATGAAGAATTTAGTTTTTAATTCTTTTTAATTGCAAGTAATTCAAATGTAAATAGCCAGAGGTGACTAATGGCTGCCTTCAGATACAGGGGATGTGATCTGCTTATCCCTGTGGCTGTTAAACCATGGCCCGTTGCTGGCAATCAAGTGAATAGAGCAGCCTTATTAGCAGGGGTTCCATAAAACTTACTTGTAATGAATTAACTTCTCTCCTGTAATGTCATAATGTTAGCTATTTGCCAAGTTTTCTGTGGGGTTTAGCTCTCGTGTGGGAGCCCATATGAGAAAGGCTAGAATAGATGATATCTACACAGATATTTCTGTTCTCAAAATGAGTTGTTTATTTCACATTTTTCACATTTCAGACCTTTTGAGGGAAAAAGTAGCCTCAAACACAGTTAATCATGTTGCCAGATTCTTGTGCAATCCAGTTACTCAGCAAACATGAGTGCAAAAAGGAATCTAAGTCTGAGTTTCTCCCCTCACTGTGGGTGCAGCCTGCCCGTTGTCAGACCCGCCCACACGTGTGGCTTTGTCTGTGTGCGTTTTGCTTAAGTTTATGCCGAGTGCAAGGGCCACGGGAGCAGTGAGCAAGAGTCAAACGCTATGGGGGTTGCTAACACACAAGCTTCCCCCAGAAGCGACTCTCTGGTGATTGGGTTCTCTTTCACATGTTAATTTCATAACTAGGCATACTATTTTAAAGGTCCTATGGGACACTTTTTCTTAAAATCCCATCAAGAAATAAGTGACCAGTAATAATATGTTTTTTCTCCCAAGAGTGGGTTTTAGTGGAGGAGGTAAGGACTAGAAAATGGAATCATTGAGCACCTGACAGTTCTGGGGCTCAGGGCTGCTCCTAAGAGCTACACACGTGATGTAATGTGTCATTATACCTTAGAGATTCTTCGTGGAGGGTCAGAGATCTAAATACATGGAAGCATTTACTGAGCTGATCTCTAAGAATTGGAAGGTTAATGAGGTTCAAATATTTATGAAATTGTAAAATTGTTTTCCTTTAATAATAGTCCACGAACAAGGCATGAACTCTCATTTAACTGGTGGTATTTGAGAGTAGACAAAAAGAAACATAATTTGTGATTATTTATTCTTTATCCCTAATTGTGGCTATCAGTCTAAATAAATATAATTATAAAAATGAACTTTGTTCTCTAATTTTAAAAAGAGTTTTTGTGTGGTTTTTTTATTAAACAGGTTGAGTTGGTAAGAAGAGATTATGTTGCAAATGGTGGCTGGGAAACATTCTTATCATATGAAGACCCAGATCAAGACATTTTAATTGGCCTCCTGAGATTACGAAAGTGTTCAGAGGAAACGTTCCGTTTCGAATTGGTTGGGGGTGTCTCCATAGTCCGAGAGCTGCATGTGTATGGAAGTGTCGTCCCTGTGAGCAGTCGGGATCCCACTAAATTTCAACATCAGGTATGCTGTGTTCCATTTCTAGTTGACCATAATTAAGACATGGCCCAAAGGAGGAAAAGAGAAAAGGAATGAGGGGAGGGAGGGAGCAGAGGAGGAGACAGAGGAAGAGGAGAGGGGAAAGGGAAGTATAGAAACAGCAATCAGTATTGCAGTGGTTCAGAGATGTTTTCTCTTTAAATTGTACCCTTTTGGGTGTGAGGGAGGAGGAAGGAGAGACAAATTGGACTCAGTGAAGTGGAATATAATAATAGTCTGAACCATATGAAATTGCTATTTTTGAAAGTCAGAAATGGTCTAATACCGGCAATTTCGTATGATTCAACAATTTTGGAATCAGAGATGATAATGCGAGTGAAAGCAGTTATGAAACGTTAAAACACTTTATAAATGCATGCTATGTGATAGAGACTGGGACACTGCTCCGCTCCCCCTAAACCTGAATAAATAACTCACTTTTTTAAATTTCAGGAAACTAGGTTAAAACTACTAATGGTAGATACAGCATACACCCCCAAGTCGGTGATTTAAGACTATTGCCTGGTTTCAAAAAGCCTTTTAGAAATTGAAGGGGTGACTGATAAATACAAGATTAGATGCCCCAGACTTTCGTCACCTGGAGATTGCCTAGAACTTGCTTAAGAGGCAAAAGTGGAGGGGCAGTTACCCCCTCGCTGGAACTAGGCTACATCATCCACAAAACACCTTTTGATGGCTTTTGTTGCACATTATTCCTAGTCCACTCCAGTCTGCTTTTGGAATAATTGAATGGTTTCTTTCCTTCTTCTCATAAGTGGTTTGTTTCACTCTTACTTTAAAAGGTTTTAGCAAGTACTAAATATTAGCCGCCTTGTTTTCTCGACCCCTTTTAACGACTTCTTTCCTTCTTAATTCTCTAACCCCCTTCATTGCTCCTCGTAGGGGTTTGGCATGCTGCTGATGGAGGAAGCAGAAAGAATAGCTAGAGAAGAACACGGATCTGGGAAAATAGCTGTTATATCAGGTAACGGGGGAGGGCAAAGTTGCTGATTCATTCACATTTTCAGCTTGATACCACAGTTAAAAGTACCTCAGATCTCTCTTGCCCCTGTTTATGATTATTATGTTCAAACTTAGGCAGAGCCAAAGAGGGAAAGACTTGTGCTCAGACACAAAGAAAATTCCCACGTGCAGTTGGGTGGAATAGAGCTTGCAGACTCACTCCATCTCTGAGCAATAAGACCAGAAATCCTTATCCTGTCTTCCTCGTGGTCTGTCACGCTGGTCATCGTGGTCAACTCGTCTCTTATATTTTGTGCCCGGTTACTCTTTCTGGGAGAATGAAATTTGATGACATGGATCCAGGAAAAACATAAATCAATGTTGTTGTTCAGAAAATTAAAGCAGAACCTAGCTGCCAGTACAATATATTTAAAGGCAGAATTCCTCACTCCTTAAAAATTATTTTCAATGACTGCTTCGGGGGAACAGCTTTCCCCTGTTTGGTAGCTTTCCCCTACCTAACCTACGACATCAGATAAACGGCAGGTGGGCATGAAAGGGGAAGTCCCGTGTGAGTGGAGCAAGAAATAACTCGTGTGCACCCTTTCGCTCCTGCTCTTTAGTGTCCTTACAAAAATCGCTATTCCCAATGAGAAGCTAACATGGTGAGAGCCATGATCAAAAGTTAGGTTATTTTCCCTCCAGCATTTGGCTTCTCTTTAGACTACTGCATTCTTAAATGAGAGCCGAAATGAGACTTGAAAAAAAAATCAGTAAGTTGTTGCCAATCAGTAAATCAATCCTCTTGCCCAGGGTTTAATGGTTACAGTTAGGAAAATGTGATGATCCAGGCTCGCTTAATCGATGATTTAGTCTGGCTGTGGTTTTTGGCGTTATTACCCAGGCAGATTCCTAAAGCATTTCTTAACATGGCTAGCTCTATATATTCTTCTGGGCTCTCTTTAATCGCGCTAAAGAAGTAGGGACTAAGGCTCACCTGACTGGTACCGATATTTGTAATAAAAAAATGTTACTCCTCAATTGTTTAATCTGTGATTAAACAGCCTTTCAGGAAAGGGCCAGATGGACTTGGAACTCATTGTTCACGTGCAGCTGTGGATCCCCTGAAATTTCAGTGGCCTCTTTGATCAGTGTTTTTTTAGTACAGTACTTCCCAAGCTTTCCCGTGCTCGGGAATCACCTGGAGATGTTGTTAAAATGCAGATTCTGACCCACTAGGTCTGGGGTGGGACCTGAAAGCCCAGATTTCTAACTCCCAGCGACACCTGTGCTGCCTGTCTTCAGCTCTTACTTGGAGTAACAAGGTTTTAGTATTCTCTTCCAAATGCGGTGTTCTCTTCCAGGTCATTAAGGTAAGAACGTTCTCTGGGACCCTGGCAGTGCCTGCGCTCCCGAAGTATGATATACACTCATGTGATTTTCCTGGTATCTGTGGGAACCAGATCAGTTTTAAAACTGAAGAGCTAACACCTCTCCACATTATTTAATTTGCCTTCAGGATATCTATCTCTTTTTAGAAATGTTACATGCGGAGAGGGCCTCTGACTTGCCTGAGGTCACATTCAGTCACCCGAAAAAAGCCTCCGTTCCTGCTTTATCGAGCAGTGTCTTAGTGGAAATTGGCAGCTGTCCTCTTTCTAGCTGTTTATTATAATCCAAATAGTAGCTCAATTTCAGATCATCAGCTTGTAGAAATTTTTAAATAACAAGAAGAGGCTTGCTAAAAATAACAGGGAAGGGCCTTTCTCCTTATTCGCTGTCACAGTAGGACTCCTGGGTTTCTGTGCAGGGTTTCTTTTGGCCAGTGGGTTCCTGCAGGAGCAGCCCTGGAGTGCCTTCGTGGAACTCAAGTGAGTTCTGTGGGAGGAAGGAAGCGTTGCTTCCTGTCTCTCTGGTCAGTAAGCCCCCACCAGTGCTCTCCACTGGGGAATCCAGCTAGGGCCTTGACTCTGACTTCAAATGAAAACACTAAGAGACACATTTGCTCAGATGCGATGCATTTTATTTCTCTAATTCAGTAATATATTACTGTTCTATTCAGAGGTGTCCATTATTCAGAACTTCAAGGAGAGCAGATTTAAAATGTTTTTGTATCGTAATGTGTTTTGTTGTTGCTTTTTGCCCATTCATATTTGTTTATTTTTAACTTTGGTCTCTCTGATTTGAATACCATGCCGTGTGTGTGTGTTTTACTTGGTTTCTGTAAAAAGTCAAACGTTATTCTCCTTAAGTTGACCCTTAGAATGACCATCTCTTTGTGGTGGTGCTGGTGTTTGCGTGTTGCATTTTTTCGAAGCATGTCCGTAGATGGGGTACAGAAGACATACTGGGTGGCGTGTCGGAGGGTTGGGGTGTCAGGGTTCTGTTCCTGCATTGACAGCCGCTCTCCTTGTGGTCTCGAATAATTTTGCTTGCTCTCCTGGGACCTTTATGTCTGTACTAAAAATAAGTGGGTTAGGTTATCTTTTACAGTTCTAAGTCTAGAATTCTGCCCCTTAGTATCTTCGTTTCTTTTAGCTCGCAACAAGACCAGTTGCGTTTCACAGATTGCATTTTAAGTAGGTTCTTTTCTGAAACCGTGTTAGGAGATCCTTTAATTTCATTAGTAGTTGATCTCAGTCTCATTGTAGATTGGTATTTGGTGATAGAAATAAGCACATTTCCTAGGTAGCTAATCCTATCCGTGATTTGTGGATGTGTACTAACTTCAGCCCCAACTAGTGATACTTTGTGCCCTGAGTGTCCTACTTTTTTTTTCTGACCTTGTCCTTGATTTGTAAATCCATCCATGTTTTGAGCCATAGGCTTTTGTGTAACTCACACACAGTGGTGGCCTAGATACTCTATCTGGGCATAACTAGCAGCTTGAGTAAGGGAGAGACAGATCATTTATCATTCCAGCTACTGTGACTGTAAGAGTAATGCATTTATATAGTTTTCTTTTAAAATTACATTCTGATTCATTATGACTTCCCTTCATCTTGCTAGCAGATTTTCTGTTGCTTGGATTTATAATCTTTGATTCTGCCTCTAGGCAATGTTGTTAACTGCACAGTAGATCTGATTTGAATCACTAGTCAGAAAGACTCCATGTATTCTATTTTTCCCTATTAAAAAACAAATTGTTTTTGATCTGATATCTCAATATATTTTGTTTATTAAAGGTACATACTGTATATTTTATAGCTGACTTAACTTTCTTAAAGGATTAACTTTATAGCTACATGAGAAAATTGAGAACCCGTTTATCAGTCAAATGAAGCACTTTCTCAGAATGACTTGTAAGTTAATCCATTCTGGTTTTTTAAGTATATAAAATCGTCTTAGTAAGTAGACTTTGTTTAACAGTTAACCATCAACTCTAAATGTGAAAATTAAACAACACAAAAAAGAAATGTCTCGCTTCACCAACATCAGAATAACCAAGTGTATGGAGTCTCTCCTGTGTGCAGGGGAGCAGGGCTGGGGTCGGGCAGGCAGAGGAAGAGCTGCCCTGTCTTTGAGGGATGTTCACGCTGGGCCAGAACAGCTCACCAGTTTTCACCCGCACGTTGTCCTTAACTGCAGAAGGAGACAAGTGTTTCCTCCTACTTAAGACTGTTTCTCAACTCAGCATTAATTGCTTCAGAGTAAGAAAACAATCTTTTTCTACACATAAAAATAGGTAAATCAGTAGTATGAGAACAACCAGCCTATAAAGTAATGTGTAGGAAGGAAATAGCCATTAATTTCTGCTAAATATTTAAGCAATTAATTAATCCCTGTTAAGGCCAAGTGTTTTAGTATCTTTCACCAACTTATTCATGTCGCTTCTATCAGCATACATTTGTTTAAGATTAACAGGTCATATCTACTTGAAAGCCATGATATTTATCTACTTGGATGATCAGCATTCTTTAAAAATGTTAAGATGGAGCAGTTTTCTTCTCTTTCCTCTCTTCTGGTGTAATGTGGAAAGATTATACTGTAGAACCTAACCACAACGTTTGAAATGCCATCACTAATAATCACCATGGAAACTGGAGATCTCTGATGTCACACTGCCCGTACCATTTCCAAAAGGGCAAATAGAACTGTCAATAGCCACTGTTTAAAAAGCCACTTAATACCTCCAACAAAATGATTTTTTTTCCCTTTAGGCAATTTTGGCTAGGCATCAGATCCAATCATCTTACTGCTTGTTTGCCAAGCTAATTGCTATGCATCAAGACAAACAGCTATTCCCCACGCTCCCCTACTACCTTCGTCATAAGCAGCATCCTATTTGTGTTCTTTCAAGTAGAAAATTAACATGGCCATTGGCCAAGGATTGTGCCAGGCTGACAGATTACACAATGATGATGAGAAATGAGGAAAATGTCCGAGTGTTTGATGACAGAAACCGCTAAAGTCACAGACTGATAGCCATTTTGTTTAAGCCTCTTAAAAAGGCAAAGAAGAGGGGAGGGGGAAAGAGCTGAAATACAGGATGGGCAGACGAGCCACTGTGGGGACGAGGTCACTCTAAATCGTCGTGCTTGGAGTTGTGGGATCCCACAGCCACACCCACAGTCCCTACTACTACTGAAAAAAGTCAGTGTGCCTGGGACTTACGTGGTCCAGTACGGCTTCCTGGGGCTGAAACTAAGGGGTGCCCCAGAAGCCCAGATTAATAAAGTGATACGTGGGCAGAAAGTAACAGTTGTTTCATTGACCACAAATGGCTGAGATTTCCTTACTGAACCCCAGAAACTCTGTTCTAGGCTGCAACACGTGTCTCTGCGTTTGAGGTAAAGGGAGTTCTATTCTTTGTATTATAATCTAGTTGGAAAAAAGGGTACATTTGTAACTAGATCTGTCTGGTAATGGACTCATAATCCTTACCGAAATGCCTAGAAAGGCTTTTCCTCGTTTGCCTCACCTGTTTGCTAATGGACACAGGAAGACTGCCGAATGCAAACCAGTCTGTGCCGCGTGTGTTAACACAGGACTTCTCAGAGCGGAAGGGGAGAGCTTGTTTGC